AAAAAAAAAAAAAAAAAAAAACAGAATGTATTTATTTTCACACTCATGAAGTCTTTTTTTTTTTAAAGTCTTTTTAAAAAAGTCTTTAATTCCATTTGTTATAATTATCATTTTTTTTTTTTTTTTTTTTTTTTGGAGAGGTTTTTGCTGTAGGGCATGTGCGCTTGCCAGAGAGACAGAAAGTGAGAAATCACCCCCCAGGGAGGATGGCCACGCCGCAATCCCTTCTCTGTTCTCCTCTCGGGATCTTGGGCACGCATGCACACACGCCCGGTGTGAGTTTTAAGCTACCAGGTCCGGGACGCGAACCACAGTCGACTACGTGGGAGTCCAGTGACATAGCCATTACTCTAACTGCTGGTTCTCCCTATAATTATCATTTTTAATTCGACCAGCGAGACAGAGAGAAAGAAAAAGTGAGAAAGCAAGCCGCCGGGTCCAGGACTCAAACCGCAGTTGGCCATGTGGGAGTCCAGCACCTTTAACCAGCACGCTACCTGCCGGCCCCCCACACTCCGTGAATTCTCATTTTTACTTCTGTTATTTCTAACTTTATAGCACTGTCAGAGAAGGTAGTTTGTCCAAGACCTTTCTTTTAAATGTATTAAGACGCCACCTGTGGCCTGAGTGTGGTCTGTCTGGAAACGCCCACGTGCACTCGCGAAGCGCCCGCTTTCTTGTTGGGGGAGTGTTCTGTGCGTGTCCACGGGTCTGGTCGGTTTCTCATGTAGGGCGAACCGTCTGTAATGCCTGAACGCTCCTGTCGCTTTTGCAGCAGACACTGGTCTTCCGTCTCTCCCCACGGTCTGTCACGTGAACGTCAATGTCTGCATCTTGCATCTTCTGAACTTCCTGGTGGTGAGCCTGCTGCTGTTTACCAGCACTGTGCGTCCCCGAACGTTCCCGGCTTGAAGCCCGCACTGTCTGGTGCTTGTGGCCCGGGCCTGAGCAGTGCATGCTGGGGGCACCTCCCCAACCCGCTCCCTTTCCGTCTCTGTGTCTGAAATGAGGCTCTTGCGGACAGCACGTAGTTGGCTTTTTTAAAGAATTATTTTATTTTGGGACCAGCAATTGGCGTAATGGCTGTCGCTGAACTCTCATGTAGCTGACCGTGGTTTGAGTCCTGGACCTGGTGGCTTAAATTCATGCCGGGCGCATGTGCATGCGTGCCCAAGATCCAGAGAGGAGAATGGAGAAGGGATTGCGACGTGGCCATCCCCCCTGGGGGCTGATTTCTCACTTTCTGTCTCTGGTGAGCACACACGCCCTATAGCAAAAACCTCTCCAAAAATTATTTTCATTATTATTTTTAATTTGACAGATCCCTCCCCGCAGCCGCTCTGGATGGATCGGTGTCTCACCGCGTCCAGGGATGGCTGCCCATATCTTCACGCCCTTCTTGCCGCCGCTCTCCTTCCGGGGCCTGTAAGCTGCACTGCGGCCGTGGTATCCCATGGGCCCCTGGGGCTCGGAACTCATCCTGTCTGTCCCCTCTGGCCCTCCGAGGTGGTCTTCAGCGTCGCTGCTGCCTCCTCCAGCTGGATTTGGGTGTACGACCGCTCAGCAATGGAATTTCCGCCTGGTCTCTCTGTTGGTTTCTTAATCGACGAGGGACACCTCGCCCTGTCATCTTAGCTCTTTATATAAATGCACCCGCATACCTGAGTGAACCGGCCAGGACAGTCGGGCGTGCACACAGCACTTGCGGTGGCAAGGGGCCTTGAAGATGGACTTCAGACCCCAGACCGGGAGTTGGCCGCGCACGCTCGGCTCAGTCCAGGTCCCCTGGTGACCTTGTTCACACCCCCGAAGTGACTGATGTGACAGGGGACTGGACATGGCTCCTGTCGAGGGGGTCTGCCCAGGCTGTGTGGAGCCCTGAGGTCCCCAGGCTCACACCATGTGGCTGGGCGCTGGGCTCGCAGGCCTTGGTGACCCATAGGGTACGGCAGTGTCTCCCACAGGGCGCCTCTGAAGGGCCGGCCGGCGCGAGCTCTGCTGCATTCCCCTCTGGGCTTCCCTGCAGCACGGCTCTCCTGTGTCTGTTTGCTGTGGGGTCCACGCACTCCCTGGACAGGGAGAGGGGAGAGAAACCACCTCCGGGAGGCCGCCGCACCACGCTCCCTTCCCCTCAGGGTGTTGCCGGGTGTGCATGCCCCTGGCGTGTTTTTCAAGCCACTGGGTCTGGGACTTGGAATTGTGCCGGTGTCAGCCACCGCCATGCAGCAGCTGGCCACTTCCCACTCTGCACGCCTACGCTGGGTGCCGGGTGCCGGGTGCCGGGCGGGTGCTCGTACAGCGCTGTGGTGCGGGGTGCCCCGGCAGGCGCCTGCACGGTGCTCTTTGGTGCTGGGTGCCTGGGCGGGCGCTCATACAGCGCTGTGGTGGCAGGCACCTGGGCCCGGCCTCTTGACCAGATACCCTCCTGGCCCTTAGGAGCCTTGGGACCACCAGGTACGGCCCCTGGGATGTCCGTGCGCGGCCCTGCAGTGCAGGACAGGTCTCCCTGTACCTGCCCACCTGCCGCCTGACGTGAGGACAGCCTGGCTAACTGCATAGGTGAGGTGGCTTTGCAGTGGTCTCCAGAGAAGGCAGGGATGGAGCAGAAGACATCTTTCAGAACTAGAGGAGCGGGACCAGCGGGCGGCACAGGGGTTACATCGCTAGACTCCCACGCAGTCTACCTTGATTTGAGTCCCAGACCCAGTGCTTAATACTCACACTAGGGGACCAGCAGATGGCGCAGTGGTTATGTTGCTGGACTCCCATGTAGTTGGCCACAGTTTGAGTCCCGGACCTGGTGGCTTGAAACTCACGCAGGGCACACACATACACATGCCCAGGACCCTGAGAGAACAGAGAAGGGACTGCAGATTGCCCCCCCACCCCCCGGGTGATTTCTCACTGTCTCTCTGGTGAGTGCATACTCCCTATACCGAAAATCTCTCAAAAAACAAAAACAAAACAACACACACACACGCACACGCACGATCACGCCGGCATATGTGCACAAGTGCTCCAGATCCCGAGAGGTGAAGAACGGGCTGCAGCGTGGCCACCCCCTGGGGTGGTTTCTTGTTTTCTGTCTCTCTGGCGAGTGTGCATGTCCTGTAGCAAAAATCTCCTAAAAACAAACAAAAAAAACAGGCCAGCAGGTGGCATGGTGGCTAACACGCTGGATACTCCCACATGGCCGACCACGGTTCGAGTCCTGGACCTGAGGGCTTGCTTTCTCACTTTCCTTCTCTGTGTGTCTCTTTTCTTCGTTAAGTGAAAATAAATTAATAAACTCTTTAAGAAACAAAACCAAAACAGACCACCAGAACAGGAGAGACGTGAGTGCCTGTGGCAGTCCTTCCTAGGACGCAGGACAGAGAGCAGAGCGCGTAATTAATTTATTTATTTCTTTACACATAACTGAAAGTGATGTTACAGTACATAAGTTATTTACAACTGTGCAGTAATGTGTTGCAAAATAAATTATCTAGAAGGCAGCAAAAGTACATTGTGAATGTGTATAAAACTGTACAGCACGGTACGCTCTTACACGGTTATTGGCTCTGTAGTGTTTCAAGTTATGTTCTCAGAAAGAGAAACAAAATGCCCAAGATTAAAGGAAAAAAATATACAAACCACTTGGATTTGACTCCGTTAAAAACACCGTCTGTGAGTCCTGGCTCTGCTCCTCTGCGGCCGGCAGGCAGCCCTCGCTCAGAACAGCGTCCACCGTCCCCGCCTGGCCCAAGACCTCATGCGAGGGCCCCGGCTGGGCAGCTACCGCCTGCCCTTTGGCCTGAGGTCACTGTGAGGTGGACTCCTTGGTTTTGCTTGCTTGCGTTGATCAGAACGGAACAGCGGATTTCAAATGCACCCGTTCTGCCGCTCCTGACAAGCCTCTGCTGCGGCCGGGAGGGAGGACAGGTCTCTGTTTTCAGAGACGGGAGCAGCGGTGTCTGTGCCGCGCGTCTCCTCATCCCACCCGGACTGCCAGGCGCTGCAGCTGGGGGCCTCGTCCCCCGCCGGGAACCAGACGCGACCTGCCTCCCCGACGTCCGGTCAGGCGAAGCCCTGGGGTCTCTGCCCGCCCAGTGGACGCGGCGCTCCCTCCGCTGCGGAGGCTCAGGAGCAGCACGGCCCAAGCTGGTGCGGACCTGCCGGTCTGTGTCCTGTGGCCTCCTTCCATGCGTCACGCCGGCAACAGCACGAAGTCATCGTTCACGTCGACCATGGGCACGTAGAAGGAGGGCACCTCGTTCACGCACAGCGACTTGTGCCCCGCGGGGTCCAGCTCCTGCACCTTCAGCTGCCACTCCATCCTCTGCACCGCGTTGAGGGCTGCCGCCTCGTGCTGCTGCCGCATCAGGAGACACGTCTGCGGGACACGCAGGGTGAGGGGGGCAGGGACTCCCTGGCCCACCCTACCCTGCCCCGGCCCGGCCACTGGCACGAGGAGCACACTGGGCCATGGGCTTGCCCTGGGTCGAGCAAGAGGGCTGGACCTGAGCCCCCATCAGCCCCACCCTGGAGTCGGGACACCTGCACTGGGGTCTGGCGTCAGGCGGGCACCACCAGGCCCGGCCTTCCTGCATCCACCTGCTCGGCACTGACACAGGTCATGAGGGACCTTGGCCCTTATGCGGCCTCTTGGCCTCACCCCAGGCCCCGGCTCAGGGCCACTGGCCAGGAGCTCGTGAGGAGTTAGGACTGCCCCGCTCTGTCTCCCGTGGTGCGGGCCGATGCCCATGGCACCTGCGCTTACACTGGGGAGTGCAGGGACAGGGCTCAGGTGGGGTCGGGCACGTTTTGGGGATGAATGAGGAAAGCTGGCCAGTGCCCAGAGACGGCCTTGTCCAGTCTGTCATTCACGTGTGAGGACGGACTGTGGCAAGACAGGCCTATTCTCAGTGGTCTGTGGAGGGCAGGGCAGATGACCGCCAGGCTCCCAGGGCTAGCCACTGTCTGCAGCCGTGCACTGGTCATGTCTCCATGGCCGCTCAGCCTCAGAGATGACCACCCCACAGCTCAGATGCCCTGCCCAGCTCCGATCGCAGCCCTGTTTTCGGGCACCCTACACCCCACTACTGCTGAGCTTCCAGCGAGCAGATCCTGGCCACGCCATATCTGTAAGAGACCACAAAGGTTAGGCCAGCTGGGTTGGGCGGTGAGGATGGTATGGGACCTGCCAGCCACTGCCATCTCAGTAAGCAGGAGCCGGCACGGGCAGAGGGGCCCCGCCCCGGCTAACTATCTGGGCCGTGGGGGCCCCACTTCACCTGCATTTGGGAAAGGGGGGTCACGCAGACACCTCATGGAGGCCGGGCCACTCGCCTGCCTTCGAAGCTGCCTCTCCCCATTTTCTCGTCCGAGCTACCCCCCTCACTAGCGTGCGTTTTTGCCCGTCAGTGGGGTTAACGGTATGGCGTCTCCAATGGACATGCCCGACGTGAACATGGTCCAACATCTGTCTCTTCAGAAAGAGCCCTCCCTGTCCTCGAGACACCTCCAGGCCCTCCAGACAAGACACCCACCCTTGATGAACCCCTGAACCACCCAGAGCTCACGTGCCCGGTGGGGCCTGCTCTCTCACTCGTCAGCCTTCCTGCCCCTTCTGAGGAAACGGCTGGCAGCTCAGGAAGGTGCCACGGAATGCCCATCCTCTCTAGGGCAGGCTGTGGCTGGGCCTGGGCCTGGGCTTTCGCTCTGGGCAGTGCCGTCCCTGGGTGGGGCAGCCCGGCCCCCGGCCCCACGTGTGCTCTAACTGGCCCGGGCTGCATCACCGCTCCCAGGTGGGCGGCTCCGGCTGCAGCTCGCTGATCTGTTCATCTCCCTGCCCCCTGGTCTCTTCCAGAGCAGAGAAGTGGCTGTGACTGGGGAGGCGGGCTTGGGGGTCCCAGAGAGGTGTACCGCCGCGCCCAGGGTCCTGATCAGCGGGTGCAGGAGCCGCCCTGGCACACCTGGACAAGAGGGCACTCAGGAAGTGACGTGAGGGCGGGGACTTCGGCCCCTGCAAGCACCAGCTACATGAAGACCGAGGCTGGCGCCGCTAATCCCATGGCCCGGCAGCGGCCTCCCTGGCCCTAGGAGAGCTCTCGGGGGGCTCCTGGCAGGGGGGACGCCCAGCACTGACCTTCATGCGGTCGTACTTGTCGTCCACGTCCTGCAGCCAGGAGATGAACTGGCGGGCGTTGAACCGGTCGCGCACGGACTTGTTCTCGTCACCCTGCAGGACCCAGCGGGGTTTTAAGGGGGATGTGGCAGCAAGAAGTGACCCTGCAGGGCCCCTCGCTGTCCTTCCACCAAGGAGCAAGGCCCCTTATCCCAGGACCTTACGCACCGGCCCACTTGCCCACACGGTTGCATGGGGCCTGGGCGCGGGCCTGCCCGTGTCTCCTGTTCTGGGGGACGGCAGCTCAGGGCACAGGAGGGCCTTAGGGGTCGCGTAAAGCTCGTGATGACATGTTTCCACTTCTTTTTCTTTCTTGTTTAAAACCCGGAAGTGACCTTTTCTCTTTGAGACCGCTCCAGAATACAGAGGGGTACCGAGGGCTGAGAGCGGCTGGGTCTTGATCTCTGCCCGCTGTGGCCTGGGTTTTGTTCCTCAGACCAGTCCAGGTCCACCCGGATGGGCTGTGCTGGGCCAGCAGCCACGGAAGGCCTGAGGGGGACAGTGCCAGACACCCCGAGGAGCCTACGCCCGCGGCTGCTACGACATCGAAGGGGGCAAGGGACAGGCCACAGTGGCCTTTCCTCGGCTTCAACACTCAGAGGAAAGCCAGAAATGACTGAAACCTGAGCTGATGAGCCTTCCGATGGCTGAAGGACCTGCTTCGGCGCACCTGTCCCTGTGCACGGAGTGTTACAGGGACAAGTCGGGAACCAAGGGTATGGGTATGGTGGTGGTGAAGGCACTGGATCCCACATGGCTGGCTGTGGGGTTCGATTCCTGGACATGGAGGCTTGAAAAACACACTGGACACGTATGCGTGTTTGCCCGAAATCCCAAGAGGAGAATGGAGAAGAGATGGCGGCATGGCCATCCCCTCTGGGGGTGGTTTCTCACTTCCCCTCGCCCTGGCAAGCATAAGCACCTACAGCCCAAGAAGAGCGTCTTGCACCGAGCACATGGCGTCTCCAACTGCAAACCACGAAGCCCCCGTGTGCTTCCACAGGGCAGAGCCCGGAGTGCTGCTCGGACCCCAGCTGTGGTCGGCCTGTGATAGGCAGGAGGCCGTGCCGTGGGGGTCGCTGGAATGTCTGCCACGAGGTCTAAACTTTGAGGAAGCACACTCCAGGCCAGGGGCCATGGGGGGCAGGAAGCCAGCCGTGCCCCCACTGAGCACGGCCAAGACGGGGCTGGCAGGAAGCGGCAGCCAGCTGGGATGGAGGGAGGGAGTAACCTGGGCTCGTGCCAAGCCTGAGCGTGGCCGTTTTTTTTTATTCCTGAGTTCGGGAGCCAACCACACACAGCACGTAGGCACAGACAGGACAGGACGAGTGCTCCGGGGCTGACCACGTCCAGCTGCACTGGACACAAGGCAACAGGGGCAAACCCAGTGGGGCGGGTGCTCATGCCCTGGGCCTTGCTTCGAGGACGTGGTCCAGGCCCCGACTGCCCCTCCTGGGCTAACCCGGGCAGGGTGGACAGCACGTCTCGGGCCCCTGCCAGGTGGGAGCACGGACTCTCCTGGGTCCTGGAACGCGCCCTGACTTCCCCAGCATTCCCGGAGTGTCCTGGACAGGGCACCGACCTGGCTCTCCAGGGGCATGTTGTAGACCTCCGAGTCCAGCAGCATCGTGCAGGCGCTGAAGGGCACGGCCTGGTTGGCGATGGTCCTGGCCGCCCGGCAGTGGACCCGCAGGATCTCCTGCTCACAGGACACGATCAGCTTCTCCTGGCCAAGGAGAAGGGCTGGTGAGGCCGACGACCACCACCCTCCAGACGCAGACCCCACGCCGGCCGGCCTTACCCGCTCGATGCTGTGCTGCAGACGCAGCTTTCCCCGGACGGCCTCCTGCTGCCTGAACAGCTCCTTCAAGGGCTCCGCCAGGGAAGGGGGGGGTGCGATCTGTGGGTACAAGAGTGCAGGGTCAGGGCCGAGGGTCTGCGCCAGGGCAGACGCCGGGCCCTCACACCGTCTCAGGTGCAGAGGGGACCAGCGTGGTGGTCCCCACGGTGGGTCCCACACGGCCCAGCAGGGGGCAGAGGAAGGAAGACAGAGGCTGTGGGCCTGAGGTTGGCCGCCCTCCCTGCAGGGAGCAGGGACTAGGACCAGCACGAGGCCCGCCTGCGAGAAGGGACGAGTGAGGGCAGGACAGGTGGCCGGGCCAGGAGCTGAGCCCCCTCAGGTATGGCAAGGCTCATAGCCCACTCTGCCTGCTAGAGCAGCCAGGGCACAGCTGACCACCAGGCCCAGCAGTGGGGCCAGGGAGCAGGACAAGGCCAGGGAGCAGCGGACCCTCACTCTTGCAGAAAGAGACTGCAGTGCGTAGGCCACAGGCAACGAACTGGGCCGGTGCTGCCAGCAGGGGCAGCTCCGAGGCTGGGCAAGAGGAGCTGGAGCATCAGTCACGAGGCGGCAGCGTAGGCCCCGCGCCCGGGAGGCCTCAGACCCTGCCGACGGGGCAGGAGACCCAAAGGGTCGAGGCCAGCTCTCCTCAACAACATGACTCCTCTCGAAGAGCACTGGAGACGCCACGGAAACCACTGCTATGGCCAGAGCCAGCGTGGACGGCTCCCACGGCAGAGTGGGAGAGACAGCCCTCGCTGCATGCTGACCATGACCCGACAGCTCTGTGGCAGGGGGACTGTCCCCTGGAGTTCCCGGCCCACTGCCCACTATCCCGCCTGCAGGACCTGGAAACCTGTGGCCTAGGTCCAGTTGTGGGACATGTGACCAGAAGCCCAACTACAGTCCCCAAGAGCTCAGCTGTGGCACAGGAGGGGCGGGCCCTGCTGCAGGCCCAGGACCAGGCCGAGCCCAGGCCATGCTGGCCCACAGCATGCAGCTCCAGGAACCCAGGTGAGGGCACTGCAAACTCCCTTTGCTTTCAATTTTCGTTTTTGAGAGGTTTTTGCTTCAGGGCACATGTGCTTACTGGAGAGACAGTGAGAAGGGAAAGTGAGAAATCACTTCCGGGGGTGGGGGGATGGCCAGGCCACAATCCCTTCCCCTCCGGGGATTTTGGGCCCACATGCACATGGGCCCGGCGTGAGCTTTGAGCCACCAGGTCCGGGACTCAAACCATTGTTGGCCATGTGGGAATCCAGCGATTTAACCGCTACGCCATCTGCTGGTCCCATCTTTTCCATCAATCTAAAACCGGTTAAAAAGGTGAAGAACCTGGTTAGACCCTTGTCCACGCAGCTCGCAGGTCGCGCCCACTGTTCACCGTTGCAGCTCACCGCCACAATGATCCTGGCTCCGAGGGCGTCTGGGGTGAGACCCAGGACAAGCTGCAGCCTCCCTGCCTGGGACCAGGCTCCCCCTGGGCCTCTGAGAGCGTGTGGGGAGGGAGGCGGGAGGCCACAGCACAGCACAGGCAGGTCCAGGTGTGAGCACTTCAGGCTGGACCCTGCAGAGGGCCCCACGGCCTGCAGCCGCCATGCAGCGGCGCTGTGCCCTGACACGCAGGCCTGCTTCCATGGCCTGGCCTCCACCTCATGAGCCCAGGGGGCTTCGAAAGGCAGGCAGGACAGCGCTGGGTCCAGAAGGGCTGGCCGGCCCTGACCTTTTTCTTCCTGAATCTCCTACAGCGAACGCCTCACTGTTCCGGGAAGTAAAGCTGAGATGAGAGAAAGTAACAGGAAGCACAGGCAGCTCACGGGGCAGAGTGCAGGGCCTGCGGGAGGGTGCTGGGCGGGGCAGCCCGCTCCTGGGCCCCATGCAGGCCCGATGGGCACGTGTAGCCCGACGGCCCAGAACTCGCCCCGGGGAACCAGGCCTCCAAAGGGCTCGGCACAGTGGGAGGACGCGAGCAGCAAGTGCAGCCGGTCAGCCCCGATCTGTGCGTGGACCGCCGTGGGACTGAGCCCGTCCGGGCCCAGCGCAGGCCAAGCAGAGGCTCCTCCCACGCACAGGCGGAGGCGGCCGAGTGTGGGAGTGGCCGTGAGCCGTGCGAGCAGAGCTGTGTGCCGCAGGGAGAAGCAGGAGTCACCTGGGACGGCCTCGCCATGGAGCCAGACCAGCCCGGGGATCCCAGTGCCTGCAGCCTGAGCAGACCCGGGCTCAGGGGCTGCAGGAGATGTGCCGACGGCACCACGGGGAGCCCAAGTCCCGCCTGGCAGGACCTGCAGCCAGCCCAGTCATAGCCCGGAAGGCAGGAGGCGGACAACGGCCCTGCCATGTTCTGCCTGAGCCCACCAAGGACGAGCACGCAGGAGACTCGGTGGGGAATGGCAGGCCTGAGCTAGGCTGGGACGGGGATGAGCCACGGGGGAGCGGCAGGGCTGGGCTGGGGGCAGGCCGCCCCAGTGGGCAGGTGCCTGACGTCCCGGATACAGTGGCCATGGCCCCAGGCCCCCAGAGAGTGTGACCAGACCACAGGGGGCACCGCTCCCCGACAGGGGGGGGGGCAGCG